CACTGCTTTTCTTCATAGATGACTTTGCCTTGCGTCTGTCTGATATGGTTGTGAATGATCCACCTTGAGACCGACACACGAAGCTCTTCCAGAAAAGTGACCGGATCTAAAGTCTTTTTCACGAGCTCGCCTGACTCCAATGCTGCCAAAACTATCTCTTCATCCTCGGAAATGTTGAGTTTTTCGAGTGTAAAAGACTGGCCTTTGGGACAATGGTCACATTCGCTTAAAAGGCACTGGCGCGATGGCGGGTTGCAAATGAATGCCGAGTTCAATTCCGCTGCGTCAAGTTGTGAGCCAGCAGCGTTTTGTAGAGAGGCGACACAGAGGTTATAGTTTGCGCAGTACACACAAACGCACGCTTCTTGCTGGGGACTGCATTTAACCCATCGGGGTCGCAGAGAGTAAAACTTCGTCAATCCGATGCCGGAGTCGGGCTGGTCACTTTTATGCTCACGAAACGCTTCTCTGATTGACCGTGTCATAAGACGTTTCGGCCTGAGCGTTTTCTGGCCATCGAGCACAACGGAAATGACGTCCTTCTGATTGGGACTCTGCCTACAACACTAACTCGTCTTTCATGTAGTACTCAACCGCTGCAGATATGTTTTCAGGGCTCACCTTACACCTTGTATAGGGATCGGGCACTTACCACACGCCGTGGTTCTCCCTCAGCTTCCAGAACTTATTAATGATGTAGATCGATGCCTCTGGGATGATCTTCTGGACTTCATTTCTTTCCAAGGTTGATGGCAAGGGGGTCAGCAATTGACAGCGTTCCCGGGGAGAGGCTGTGGTCGCAAAGGCGCGGCGAATGTTGTCCGCCCACTCGGTGCATGTGGAGCACTTTTGCTCCGACGACCCCGATGCTACGTTTTCATATATATATATTTTTTTTTCTCTCTTTTCACAAAATAACAAGTTGCAATCATTGCGTCGCAACACAGGGACACCCCGTGCCGAGCTTCGGATAAGGGGCTCGGTAGAGGAGCTGTATCCATTGCACCGTCAGTATGATGCAACATGTTTTTAATGGATATTAACCGCTAGATTGAGTTGAATGACTGGGTAGAGTTAAAAAAAAATTAAGAACGTTTTTTTTTAAGTCGCACTTAAAATATTTTTATTTTGGTGCTTGTCTCGTGTTTGCTTGCCAAAATCTCCCACACCCACGCGTATACAGATTTGAATTTCAGTTAATTTACTTCCATTTATAAGTAGCGTAAAGTAGCGTATTGAATTAAAATATGACTCTTCTGACTTAAGTATTTTCTAAGATACAGGCCGGCAAAGTTGGGGGAAAACAGTCAAACAGCCGAAATTGATGTTTTTTTATAATTTTTTAAACATAATAAACAATAAGAATATGTCTTTCGTACAGCTAAGTACACTGTGCCTAAAAATTGTGAAACTCAGCTAAGAAGTATAATTTCCGTCATTAATCACCAAATTTTACCCCTCCAGCTACGCAAGCAAATGCGACTTTCCACTTCTACGTAATGTGCGACATTTTGCGTTGGACGATTTTTTTTTCTGGGTGAAAATGATCTTGATTTTTTTTTGTTAGTTCGCACATCGTTAAATAACATATACAATTATGAAGCAATTTAAAAAGGTCGACCAGCCACCTTCTTTTCGATCGTATCTGAAATCCCCCTGTATCTGTTGTGTAATTTATTTTATATAATGCGTAATTTATTATAACGTGCAAAAGATGTGGAAGAACTATTACTTGCTATACTCGAATAACAAAAAAAAATCTTTTCTTTCAAAGTAAGAATTAGCAATAACTGCGTCGCGCCACGGGGGCGCACACCGTGCCGAGCTTCGCAGAAGGGGCTCGGTAGACGTGCTGTATCTATTACACCATCAATATAATGCAAGATGTTTTTAATCTATAGTAACCCCTAAATAGAGTAGAATGACTGGTCAGAGTTTGAAAAAAATCGAGAACGGGATTTTTTTTAAATCGCCCTTAAAATATTCTTATTTTGTTATACATAATTAAACAGCGCACAAAGAGAGGGACAGAAAAGGAAGACAGAACAGGCAAGCGCTGACTCGCAACTGACGATTTCCTATGACAAGGAGAAGGAAGAAAACTACACACATGAACATATATCGGAAAAGAGAAAGATGTGAAAAAGCTAATAAATTAAATAAAATTACACCTAAAATAATTATAGCTGAAAAGGAAAACAAAATAAAATGAAAATCAATCTCTCAAAGTCCTAGGCATGTCCAGTGCCGGCACTCCGAAGCCTTGACCATACACCTATTTGTGCGCAGCTGCCCCCATAAACTCATACTCGCTGTCTTGTAGTGTTAATGATGGCTGGCTCACACATTTGGATTCGAGCTTTCTTATCCAAAAGGCTTCCACTATTTCTCTTGTTGTTTTTTCTTTATGGGAAGCTAGAACAGTTGTTGCACAAAAATCTGGATCACATCCACAGGTTCTGCAGTGGATGGCTAGGTGGCTTCCAGTGGTGGTTTGAAGAGACTGTTTATGTTCCCTCAAGCGGTCGTTGAGGCAACGCCCAGTCTGTCCGACATAGGTTTTCCCGCAGGACAGAGGAAGATGGTAAACCACTTGTAGAATGCAAGACACAAAGTGCACCTTGTGGTTTTTCATGCAGCAAGCCCTGCTGTCATTGTTCTTGTCCACAAGCGTGCAAATTCTACCCAGTTTGTTTGGGGCTGAAAACACCATGGGCACGTTGTATCTATTGGCAACATTTTTTAAGTTGTGCGACGTCTTGTGGATGTATGGTATAACTAGTGGTCGGATATTGGTAAGGTCTTTGCTCTTTTTTCTTTTGGTCGATCCTTTACAGGTTTGTATCAGAGTGCCCGCAACTTCACTTAACATGGCTGATGGAAAGCCGGATCTTGAGAGTTTGTTTACTTGAGTGCTGAAACTCTGTTCGATGGTGTGGTGACAGGATTTTTTCAAAGCTGAATACATGCACGAACTGGCTATACCGCGCCCGGGTTTGCCGCCAAAATCTTCCCAACCCGCGCCTGAATAAATTTGAATTTCAGTGCATTTACTTACATTTATAAGTAGTGTACGTACGTAAAATATGACGTTTCTGACTAAATTATTTCCTAAGATACAGGCCTGCAAAGTTGGGGTAAAAACGGTTAAGGCGCCGAAATTGATGTTTTTTATTTATTTTTTAACACATACTAAAGAATAACAATAGTTTTTTTCGTATTGCTAAGTACATATAGATTGTACTAAAAGATCATTAAACTCACCTAAGAAGTATAATTTTAGTTATTAATCACCAAAGTTGACCCCTCCGGCTATGCAAGCAAATGCGGCATTCCACCTCTACGTGATGTACGATTTTTTGCGTCCGACAATTTTTTTTCTGGGTGAAACTAATTCTGATTTTGTTTATTTTGGACATTGGGAAACAACATATAAAATTATGGAGCAAATTAAAAAGGTCGACCAGCCACCCCCTGTTCGACCTTATCTGAAATCACCCTTTACTGAACTTGACAATGGGGCCCCCCAATCGTGCAAAGGTATCAGCCATCAGGGGGCTTGGTTGTAAATGCACGTGTGAAGATGTGGAGCGATGTCATCCCCTTTCTTTTTTAATTTTCTTTTTTATTTTATTTTTTATTTTTGTAACTTTTTCAGTTGCGCCAGCCCTCTGGGCTATCCCGTCTTTCTTCCTAACGTTGTGATTGCGCTATTCTCTGCCCCCAGCTTCACACATCGTCATCCCACTCGGATGACGCCAACTAAGCCTGTTAAAAAAAAAAAAAAGTGATGGCCTAGTTGTTTGAGTGCATATTCTCAGTGACAAGAGGGTGCTTTTATGCCTCTGAGCGATTGGTCTTTACGAGTCTATCGTGGACAGTGAACACGGAGGTCAATCTGGAAATTTGGCCGAATAAAGTTTACGCTGCACTCTAACGAGCTTGCGGCCGGTTTTGATATATACAATGCAATACAATACAATTTATTTTCTTTTTTTAATACATTTCGTTCTGACTGGGCACATAGAGTTATTATAACGTACGTCATAATAACGCTATGAACGGGCGTCTTACTGAAGTGTTTTTGTGCAATTTGACCAAGGCAGTGTATACTGGCCAAATCACCTCACTCATTACTACCGCTTGATCAGTACCGCGCAATAGACGTTAACTTGTCCCGTGCAGTGGTACTGTAATCGTCCAACATTATGGTGGACGATTGCTTTATGTTAACTTTATGTTACCACCTTGCGAACTTTAATATAAGAAAAGACATCGCCGAACTCAGCCAAACTCTACTGAGTGCGGAGGTCACAATTCTACGTCGTTTAACTTTGTCTTCGTTGCTTTGCAGTTTTGATGCTACTCAGAGAACGTTAATGTTTCGATTGGAGCCGGCCGCAGAGGCAATGGCAGGAGTAGCACCCGGCCTTCGCACAACGCTGACGGGAAACAATTCGCCTGGAAGCTTTCCAGTAAAGAGAAGAAAAAATTGGCAGAAGCTGTTTCCACACGGTCTTCAATTTGTAAGTATATAAACTCAAAAGTTATACCCGTTTTGATTTGCTGAAGTTTTACAGCGATAGGGTTTTTACAGTCACATAAAAAAATCACGCTTCTTTTGTTCTAGTATTGCGTAGCTTAAGTCAAGAATAAAAAGTTCCTAATTAGGCTGTACTTCACGATATAATTAAATTGGCAGTTAATTCACACAGTGATTGAGTGAATTAAAAATCAATCTGCCATATCTAAAAACATTTAGTAAGAAAATATAATATTTTTAGACAGCGTGGTTTAAATCTAATAAATCTGGCTTAGAACAAAATTATTAGATTTATTTTCCTTTTTTTTTTATTAAGTCGTACTTTTTTTCTTTGGGGTTTATGCATTATCCAGAATTAAGTATTCACGCAGGTTTTCTACATAAACATCGCCGAAACTATCTGAGCAACTAGACGTACGCTAGCCGTAGGCGCTCAAACCGAGGTGGTACTACTGACCTGATGCCACATGATGGAGCCACACAAAAGAAAGTCTGCTGTAGCTGTCTCTGGCGTCGTGTGTATGGCTCTCTCGTAGTACGCCTTTTTATATGAACTGACACGATGACGTCACGCCAGACTCAGACGGCCAAAGTTCAGAACGACTGTCGTTGGCGGAGCTCCGTCTTTCCCCCGCCGACTGCAACCGCGAAATGATGGAGTGATCCCGAAGGAAGTGGTAATTGCATATGTCAAAACGAGACTGTTTCCGCCGCCCTTGCTGACTGCTGATACGTACATCTTTCGCGATATGAAACCGCCTTTCCGGGTGTTTCACACAGAGACTCCGACAAATCGTTTGAAGATTTTTCTTTATTTTATTTAGTCAGGGACCCTATTGGGATACCCATATGCAACGAAACGTGCGTTTATTTGACATCTCATTTCCATAACCCGTTCCATACTCAGTGCATGACGCCGTCAATGCTACCTGCGCTACCGCATCGCTTTACCCGGCGTTTCGCTTGCGCGAGAGAGCGTGCAAATTACCCGCAAGGTGAAGCTACCCCTATTGAAAAGGACCATAAGAAATTATAGATAGCCCATCAGGCTGATTGTATGTCGTATTTTGAGACATATGGTTTGGGGGTTTGATATACTGCTTCCCACCCTAAGATGGACTAAAGTCCAAAGGCTGAAGACACAAAACTAGCTTTGGAAAACGTGCCTTCTTAATATAAAGTAGTCTGCCTAAAAAAAAGAAAGGCGTTTACAACTCCCTGTAACGCCGAATTAGAGCACAGCTCTTGAGGAGGAGGAGGGGAGGGTATGCCCCTCCTCCTTATTCGTACCCTCTCCTCCTCCTGTTTTCCTCCCTCTTCATCTCCCCCTCCCTCCCTCTCGTCCCCCTCCTCATCCCTCCTTTTCCCCTCTTTCCTTCTCCACTACTCCCTCCTCTTCCTCCTCAAACTCTAACTCCTCCTCCTTCCTCCTCTTCCCCTCCTCCTCTTCCCCTCCTCCTTCCTCTTCCTACCCTCCTCCGTCCTCCTCCTCCCCGCGCGTTGCATAATGAAACGTTTCCCATAATGCAACACGTGACGTAAAGTCACGTGACGTCATGTGACCCTCGAGAAGTCATATGACCCTCGTGATGCCACTTGACTTTCGTGAGGTCACGTAACCCTCGTGACGCCATTCGTGATGTCACGAGTCTCGCGCGTTGCATTATGGGACATTCCCCATAATGCACCGCGCGGTTACGCCGACGGCGACGGCGACGCCGCTCAAGCCGGAAACGGGCGCCTAAGAGCTGCGCTTTAAAACAAAATATTGTGCAGCCAAAGAATATAAAATTATACCGTAAATCACAAAGGTATTGCCGTTTAATTTTGTTGTTACGCTGCTTTGCATTGCTAAACGAATATTGATTGATTGATTGATTGATTGATTGATTGATTGATTGATTGATTGATTGATTGAACGACTTTAATTGCGCCCAGAAATCAAAGAGGAAGGCCGAGGACCCGCCCTAGGGGATCCCCTCCCAACCCTCCTCAAACGACGGCGAGAATCCCTTGGACTCCGTCGGCGTTTTTGGCCATTCGGACGTCTTCGGTTTGCCCGTGGGGGTCGGTGCTAAGCAGGATAGCTTCCCAAATCTTTAGGTCGGTGATCTGCTCCAGTAATGGTTGCGCTTGTCTGTCGATCTTGTTACACTCCCAAACCATGTGGTGAAGGTTAGTCCATCCACCGCACAGTTTGCGTTCACAAATTGTATCTTTCCGGATACCAGCGGCTCAGTTTGGCTGGGCAAGGGTAGGTGTCCGTTTGGAGTCTTCTCCACGCCCTAGCGTGCTTCCTGTCGAGCGAGAGGTGTGCCGGTGGATAGCGAAGCGGCTCGCTTGCATAGTGATCCAGAATGTCGAGAAAGGTCAACAGCCTGCCTTTTCCCGACCACGATTTGTTGGAGGGTTCCGGCGTTATGCCGGCCCGGCGAGTCAAACCCGTCGTTGCGGGGAAGTGACGAGTTTGCTGGTGTCCAGATGATCTTTACCTTGTGGTGTGTTGCGAGGTCCTCAAGCCAGCGACTCGTTACTGGAAAGATCGTCCCCTTCGCAAAGGTGGGTATCGCCGTCTGCGAGTCGCTAACGACGGTCTTGACTTTCTAGTCCTGATGGCCAAGGCTATCGCCACTTCTTCCCCCAGTTCTCGCTCCGACGTCTTGACGCTGCAGCTTGCGACGATCGTGCCCTGCTAGTCGACCACGGCGGCCGCCATGGCGTCGCGACCCTCGCCGTACCTCGCCGCGTCCACATAGACGACGCCTTCTGCGTTCTTGAGTTGCTTCCGCAGTGCCCTAGTCTTGGCCGCTCTTCGCTCCGCATCATGCTCAGGATGCATGTGCCGCGTTACGAGATGAATGTCTAACGTCTGTCTGACCTTCTTGGGGACATCCGTCTTTTCCCCGCGGTCTACGACTCGTAGCGGAGTCCAAGGCTCTTGAGGCTGTGTCTTCCCGTCGCGCTCTTTGTGAGTCGCTCGAGCTGCGACACCCGTTGTGCTTCAACGACATCTTCGATGGAATTGTGAAGGCCCAGCGCCGCCAATTTTTCGTTGGACGCCGAGTTCAGGATCCCGAGTGCCAGCTTGAAAGCCTTTCTGACGAGACAGTCTAGCTTGTTCTTTTCCGCGACCCCGAGCTTCAGGAAAGGGACGACGTATGCTAGCCGGCCCTTGACGAAAGCACGGACCAGGCGCATGAGATTTGTCTCTTTCATCCCGAAGTTCCTGCCCGAGATGCGTGCAATGAGTCTGGTGATCTGGTACGTGGGCGCCTTCAGCGACGCTATCATTTCGCTGTTGTGGCCGTCCGCCTGCACCCGCAGGCCTAGTACCCTAATGTTCTTTACTGTCGGAATGCGCAGCCCGTGCGAGTGCAGCTCGATGTCAGACGGCAGCTGTCTCGACCAGGCCGGCTTGAGGAGCAGAAGCTCCGAATTCTGCGGGGAGCACGCCAAACCCCGCGGGGGGATATCTTCTTCCACGACGCGGATCGCATCCTGAAACGCTGAAGGTAGCCATCACTGCCGCCGGTCATCCACAGCGTGACGTCGTTGGCGTACTTGCTGTGATGGTGTCCATCGATCTTCGTTATCCCCGCAACGGCCTCGTAGCTGAGGTGACACATCATCTTATTCATAAAGCTATGATAAAACTTGTAGGTTTATGGACTTTAAAGTAAACATTAGACAGAAGTCTGTGTGGCTGGGGAAATGATTATTAAATTATGACGACCAACCAATCTCTAAATCAGGAGCCCAACGTTTCGAAACCGGTTTCGAAACGCTGGGCCCCTGATTTAGGGATTGGTTGGTCGTCATATTTTAATAATAATAAGGCTGTTGGACTACGCGTACGTCCCGTCAGCTTTAGAAAAACAACTTGTTTCTTTGAATCTTGATGAAAAGCAAGCGTATTAAAATTATCATGCTTCATATACAGACTTCCACATCTTTGATTACTAAAATAAAACCCACGTTTCTAAAGTTCCGTCAGTCCTTTAAGAAAAATATAGGCTTTTCTTTCAAGTTATTTTGTTTAGCTTCGGTTTAGCCGGTAGTGCGATTACACACAGCTGACACAGTTACGTTGTTTGTCGTTTCGTACACATCGTCGAAGAATTTGAAATAGCCTACAATTATCGGCGAACTGTGACTGGGACTTTAATGAGCGTTCTTCTCAAGCACGTCAAAGGCAATAACATTGTCGATGAAACCCATTAGAATGCTCGTGTGAGTAAGTATTCATTTTAATCCTCTCGGCACCTATATACACGCCCAAACTCGCGCGTCTCGCTCCAGATCGTGTTAACTTACCATGATAAAGGCTACAAACCGGATTCACCTAACGGTTGCTCTGCTTCCGGTCCGGGTGGGCTGCCTTTATAATATGCTGAGTTACAAACACAAGCGGGAAGATTTGATATGTTACCGCCGCCGCTCGAGTACAGTGCAGCTTAGGCACATATTAGGCGCATATTTCAAAGCAGGAGCTTACGCTGATAGCAATCACTGTTGTGACTCTGTCCATAGCTTCCTCTATCCTCACAAAGCCTGGCAGATCGCCCCGAGGAGCGGCCGCGAAAATGGAAAATGTGTAGCAGCAGACAACGGATGAGAGGAGAGCCATGTGACTCGCCCTGCTGCTGCAGGACACCGAAACGCACCGTCTCGCCGCTGCCGAGATACGCTGCGGCGAGACGCGAAGACCCGAAAGTGTGTTTCGGGTCTTCACCGCTGCAAAATCTCTGCGCTGACGTCCAGGTTCCACGAGAAATGGCTATTTGATGCTCTGTGCTACGAGATCCTCGCGCTCCAAATTTGCAACCGGGCACTCTATGTCTAAGGCCTAGTTCACATGCAGCAGTTTTGGCCCTAGAGCGGCGCGATTTCTGCCGTCGCGGCGCTCTGGCCAGCACCAGCGGTTCAGCGGCACGAGCACCGCGACGGCAGAAATCGCGCCGCTCTAGGGCTAAAATCGCTGCATATGAAACACGCTTCAGTCGTCGAACGGCCAGACTTTGTGAGTATAGAGGAGGATATGCGCTGGCTGCACGTGGACGCTCCATATTCACGCGATGCCTCCCGAAAGCTTCAGAACAGCAGAAAGACGTTCCTTTCGCTCCTGCATTGTTCCTCCAAACTGATTGGTGTCCGAGATGATTTAAAATCCTTGGCAAGCTTAACTAGTGCACATTACTCTTGACTGATTGCTCATTTTGCCTTACGTGCCCTCTAATGTTTGTTAGATTTCGTTCATATTTTTTGTCTAATTTCTACGACTAGCACTTTCGAAGCCCACCTGACTGATCAAACAGTTTTGTTCGGAAGGGCCAAGTGATCATTGTAGCTGCAGTCACTGCAACACCAGCCATGGCTCGAGCAGCCTCAAACACTAGCTGCTATTTCCAGGGACTAATGAACAGAACAATTTTAAACCCCACTTATTTGATCCCTGTTGCAGTTCACTTAACCCGGCATTGTTCAAGACTGGTTTAGCAATAACACTATATGTTCGCATATCGCGTTCTAAAAGGCATTCTAGTGCCTC